GGATTTATACGATTGACCAAATTACGCTATGAAAAAAAAAATCTCGATTTTTTTTGTGTTTCGGGAAAATGATCATATTTTTTTTTGCGATGAAATAGAAGGTAGGTATATTCAAGAAAAAGTTGCGCTAGGTTTTTACCTTTCCAACGTTTATTGATTTATTTGATTTCATGAAATTCGAAAAAATACGAGTTTTACAGTCGTTCAAAAAAAAGTTGACCAAATTACGCTATACTCCCCTATTTATTTTTTGCCTACATAAAATACACACTAGACACTCTAATCTCTCTCCATATTTGTTGTCATAGTTAGCAAAAATGGACATATTTCAAATGAGAATCAGAGAGCATATGTCTATTAATTTTTTTTTAATCGATGGAGAATCAAGAAACAAAAGCCATATATAATTTTTAAAACATAAAATTACGGATTTCCAAGTACGGATTAGAAAAAAAATCTCAATTTAGCAAGTTGCGCTGAGATCCTAGGAGACCCTAACGCATTGTATACCTAGGATTAACAGAAAAGATTCGACTAACTTCCTCAATCCTGTGTATATAGGGTAAGGATAATAGTTCTGGATCACTGTTAAGATAAATTTTTATATTTTTATCCAGAAAGATAAAAATAAACCATTATCAAACCATTAATAAAATACTTACAATTAGTAGTTACAATTACACATAAAGAATATCATATAAATTTTATTCTATTTCAATATTGTTTAATATATTTTAATTTTAATTGAACAAAATAATGAAATTATCCATAATTAAACTCTGGTATATATTAATTGTGCATTAGTTCTTTTAATTAATACATCCATCCTTTTTGAAGACGTTATATATCCTATAAAAATAAAAATAATTTGGCTTACATATTGAAATGTAAATAATAAAATAACAATAATCTATATTTGATTCCAGAACTTCTAATTGTGGACAATGATACGATTTTAGCATTACAATAATAATATAGGGAACCGCATAGTTTTTCAATTTTTCTGATAAATAATCTTCCTTCTTTGACAGCATTTATTGCTTTTTCTAAATTCTGTTATATCTTTTTTTCATCTAAATAGAAATTTTTAATGGAGACAGAAAAAAATTAAGGAGCCGATTGAGATTTGAACTTAGGATTCTTTATTCTCATTTCTCACTCCTAGTACTTATTACCTCCACAAGTGCTTTTCATAATTATTCCGATCGATGTTATATCAATAACCTTACGGCTCTATATCCTACAATAATAAACTTTTTTATTAAAAATTAAAATTTCATTCTATATTAAATTATTTATTGTATATAATATATACATATATTAAATATGTATATAATATATACATGTATATAATATATACATATATTAAATTATTTATTGTATATAATATATACAATAAATAATTTAATATAAAATAAAATTTTAATTTTTAATAAAAAATGTAACTATGTTTTAAAAATCTGACATGATATGTAAATACGACACAATTAAAATATTTAAAGTAGTGATAATATTATTAAACAGACTCCTGAATATAATGTTGATTTTTGCAATAAAATCTAATGCTATTTGCTGTAAAAACCATAAAACAAATAAACCTTTTACAGGGATTACACTTTGAATGAATTTTTAAAGATGCATATCTTGATTGACATATTTTATTAATTAATGATCCCAATAAAATATGCAACATTGTTGTTAATAAACAAGAAACAATTAACAATTGATGAAACTAAAACAAATACTAAAGAATTTCGTAATACATGCTATTTGATGAAAAATACAAATATTATTTAACTTAATCAGTAACTTATTTACTCTAAAATTTACTTAACTACAATAGTATTCGCGGGTCCAATGTATATGAAAGAACTTTAAATTAATGTATCTTTGCTTAAATTTAACGTAATTAAAAACTTTTTTTTTTTTTCATTTTTATAAAGACCAAAATCCGAGGAATAAAATTATGTATTGTCAAAAACATTTTTTGTTACAAATCAGTCCAGGATTTGTACTTTGGGCTTAAAATTGAAATGTTCATGCCTATTGCCATTTCTACTTCTCACTTTATAGAACCGTTTTCTCGTAACTCGTAATTAATGCGCGATGCACAGTTTCAAGAACGAGACTAATTTGAGATCGTTAAAAATTTCTGAAATCATTTCATCATTGAAAAGTATATTATTATACGTACATATATAATATTATTGTATAACTATTATTCTTGATACTGTATATACATTATAAAAATATAGGTAATATATATAAAAATATAATTTAATACGTACATATACATACTTTTAATATATGTAATATGTAAAAAAGTATAATTTTATACGTACTTTAAATTTATATATGTATTGTATTTTACACGTACACTAGCATTACAGTGATAGTACGCTTTGCGCCCATTATTTTATTTTTCAAAATCGACATATTATAATACTATCTAATCTACCAATAGTGAGATAATATTGCAAATGCATTTTTTTAGAGAGATATGATACACATTAAAAACTTTTAACTTTTAATAACTTCTAAGACCGAATACCGTGTGCTAAAATAGCTATACATATAAAGTGAGTAATAGCAACGGTAATAGACATAAATAACATGAAGATTTTTTAAAACAAATCTTAAAATAACATCCTGCTAAACCAAATTAATATTACAATTTGTCTGATATTTGAATTTATGCTTATCTTGATTAGAAATGTAATACTACAAAAACTTGTATAAGTTATATAAAGTATACATATAATAAAAATTGTAAAATATCTATAATTATGTAAATTATAAGTTGATAAAATTTTTACACAACTAACATAACTGGCTAAGTATCTCTAATAATTATAAATTTATAAATTTAATATATAATCATGTAATACTTTTGTTTTAAAATTATATGTATAGTTAGTTACACAGAAATAAAAATACATACGCATATGTATATAATCCATTTTTTAAGAATATTTTAACAAATATTAATAAAAATAAATTATTCTATATCAACTAATTTACTCTGAAAAAATTTTTTAACTCGAGCTAGTAAGTTTATTTAGAACTATTTATTGTTATAATACATTATCGAATTATTATCATTTTTTTCACAATTTATTGAATGCGAATGATTAGTTTCAAACTTATATATGAGCTTCACTAAACAAATGTCTAAAAAAAATTCTTCACAAGTTTAAACAGCGATACTCTCATTTTTAATATTGCTGATACAGGGTGAACCAAAAAAACGGGAAAATTTAAACGAGCAAAAACAAATTTAGAAATTTCATTTAATTTTAATTATATCAAAATATAGTACATAATATGCTATTTACAAATTATCCTTTTTATGTACTTGGCATTGCAAGGCTATCGCACCGCTTGATAATTATTACAGCTTGAAAATCTTTTAAAATTTAAATGATTACATCTTGATAATTTAAATTACTCCTTAAGCTGCTTCGAAATATTGATGAATTTAAAACATTAAATATTCGTGAAGAAATTGCAAATCTCATAGTTGAAATATTGCAAAAAATTACTTCAGAGAGATTATAAAAATGCAAGCACTCAAAAAGTGATCATTTAAAGGATGTCATTTACAAGATGTAATAATTATTAAACAATGCCAAGTATATAAAAAAAGTAATTTGTAAATAGTACATTATGTACTACATTTTGATGTATTAAAACTAATTAAAGCTTCTAAGCTCTTATTTTATCTTTTTAAATTTTCCCATTTTTTTGCTCTCCTTGTATTTTCATATAACAATATTTAAAGCAAATTAACATTGATTTATACACCAATCCATTTAATATCGATCAATTTAAGTGGCATGTGGATAAAAACACATCACTAGATACTTTATAAAAATGTCTCTTAATTTTGTCCGAGTTATTAAAAGTTGTACAATAATCTATTGGACAATACCATCGCTGAATATCCCATGACTCTTCCAATAGATACGTTGGTAATAATAATCGATAATACTTAAATGAATTAAAACTGAAAAGAAAATCCATTATTGAGTAAATAAGACATTTACAAAGTTGGAATAGTATGAAATAGAATAAGTTGAATATTTACCCTTTTTAGGAATTCTTCTGCACATATGCGTGCTCTGGCATTAACTGATAATTTCATTTCACTGATTTCTCTATCAATTTCTTCCATAAAGTGAATAACAAAATCTACTATTTTGTGTTTGTACATTTGTTCTACGTGAATATTAGTAATTAAAAAGCTAATATCATAGCCCTAAAAGTAAATTATATATTATGAATCATAAATGCTTAAAAGTTTACAAACAATAAACTTGTGATTATTCACCTCTACTGGTTTTCTTCTGAGAATCATAAAATGCTCGGCTCTCATTGTCATGAATCTTGTAAAATTGTGACAAAGAATCTTTTCTAGATCATCAGCTTGTTTCACAGCAATACTTATTCTCATACTATTTATACTGGATTCAATCAAGACTTTCTCCTTATCATTTCTACTTATCAAGATGGGTGTTAAAAGCAGTTCTTTGCTGGCCCTTACTTCTACTTCGGGCTTGTTATGTTTCTCCACAATTTGAGAAGAGAAATTCTCTAGGCACATAGCGGCAGTAAGCGTACGCCTAACTGCTGTCAAATAGGGCTTCAGTGTTCCCGACTGTAAAATAAATAAGATAAATGTTATGAGACATTAACAATTTGAATTGATTGCTGCAGATCGATATATATGTGTGTAGATAAAGCCAAGAGATTTTGACTTGAAATAGAAATCTAAACAAATTGCTATCAGAACACACGTATCTTGGAACATTTTCCGCAATTGCCTAAGAGAACGCTATATTTCGTATAAATCAATCAAGCTCAAAATTACTTAAACGACTAAACATAACTTACCATACTTGCAAAAGATAATTCACAGATTTCAATATCACATTCGCATTCGTGTTAGCTACTCGACTCTCAGAGAAAGAGAAGAGAAAAAAAGATAAAAATTTTTATATCTTGTTCTATCCAATTCGGCCAAGCGTACAGAAACAACACATTGGCAAACACACTTTTGCTCACTAATTCGACTATATTCCGGCTTACGAATTAATGAATTCAACAAGCCTGATTCACCCTGGATTTAATAATTCTACTCTCCTCGATCGAGATTATTATAGCTACTGATATTTGCTATCTTCGACTTGACTCAACTTTCAGCAATTAGGGCGTCAACGACAAATACTCACAAACTTGTTTTCAATCATCGAAATTTTATACTTGTCCGAGCGAAGAAACTCAATAGATGCCGCACGAACAGACTTGTCCAAAACTATGGCGGAGCATAGAGGTAAGAAATAACAGGAGGGAGCATATTCCCCCGCGGCCTGGCTAAGCAGACGTAAGGGGGGAACATTACAAAACGCCATATTACTGTAG